AGAGGCGCAGGGGGACCGAGACCAAGGAGGAGAGCAAGGGAAGGTGCGCGCCGCGGGGAGGTGGCGAAAGAGACAGCGCGGGGAAACGGAGACAGCAGACAGCGGAGAGGAGGGAGGGGAAGGGGGTCCAGGGCGATGCAGAGGTCGGAGCGCGGGAGGGCGGGAGCAGAGACCAGCGGGACACACAGGGGACAGACAGGAGAGGAGACACAGGGAGGCCGAGTCAGACGGCTGCTTCTGGTCCGGGGATCCTGGGCTAAAAGTTTGGGGTGCGCCAGGGGAACCAACCCTAGGGGCCTAAGTGGAGGGGGTGGGATTCAGTCTGGACCGCCTGGAAATGGAGAAGGGGTGCCATGAACAGAGGGGGTGGGAGGCGACGGAGTCGGCGAATCCAAATCCACCCTGGACCCAACACCCCTATCTGAGGGAGGAGGCCGGGTCTGCACCCAGTGTCTGATGAAGGAGGCAGGACCTGGACCCTCAGGTCTGACGGGTCCGAGGGAGGAGGGATGGCCGGAGTGGACGCCTGTGGTTGGGACAGAGGCTCCTCCTAGGTGGAAGACGGCCGGGCAGGGTCTGTCCCAGGCCCGAGGCCGCGGACCGGCGCTGCCGCTGCCTTTGGCACCCCGAGGGAGGCGGAGGCCGTGCAGGGCCTGGCGAGGGTGCTGGGCACAGGTCCCCGTCCCTGCAGCCCGCTGTCCCCAGCGCCGTGCCCGCAGCAGCTGGATCTGCAGAGCGGGGCCTGTTCCGGCTGGGTCCCCTTCGGCTCGGGGTCCCCCTTACCTGTGCCTCCTGCTCCTTTCTTCCTCCGGGGCCGGACGCGCCGAGCTGCGGGAGGGAGGGGGCCGCGACGGGGCGGGGAGGAGGCTGGGCCGGTGTCACCGCCTAAACCTTCCCCCCGGAAACGCGGCCTGCGGCCGAGCCGCGCGGAGGCGAGAGCGGCTGGGAAGCCGGAAGCCGGGTCCCGGGCGGGCGGGGCGGCAAGGTCCAGACGGGCGGAGCAGAGCCGGAGCCGGCCCAGCCCCCACCCGGGCAAGTGCACCATTCATTCCCCTCCAACAAACCCGCGTTGACCACGTCCTGCCCGTGCCAGGCGCTGTGCAGGGCCAGGCGCAGGTGGGGGTGGAAGGAGAATCAGCCACCTGGCCTCGGGGTGCGTGACCGTCGTCGGTCAGAACCTGGCTCCGGCCTTCCCGTGGCTGCCTGGACGAGCGCCCTTCCCTTGGTTGTACCTCGGTTTCCCCCTCTTACTAGACCCCTGCTTTTCTACGCATTCCCTCAGTATTTACTGCACACCTACTATGGGTAGCTCTGTCCTTGGTGCTAGACTCTAGAGCCCTCCGGGATCCAATGCGGGAGGCAGACACGGTCAGCCCCTGGCCCGAAAGCGGTGCCCTGGGGATGCGGGGAACAGGAGGCTCGGCGCTGAGCTCACACTGGGGCCACCATGTTTTGGCAGAAGCTTGCAGGACGTGGCCCCTCCCCTCAGCCTCAGGACGGGCAAAGGCGCTCCGTGGGCCACCTGTGCTTGCCCGTTTCTCTAGGTCACATCCATGCCACACATTGTAGGCACAAGTGTGGCAAGCACTTCCACTCTGCCCAGTTCCTCCCAGGGGCTGGGAGCAGTGGAGCTGGGAAAGGCTGTCGTGGGGGCCAGGAATTCCAGGAATTTCTCCTCAGGGAGATCCGCAGCACGCTGGTCTGGTGCGCACCAGGTCTAGCTTGCCCAGTTGCTCCACACTGAGAGTAGCCTTGGTCTCTATGAGGGCGAGATCTGAACGCTGAGCCACCAGGGATCCTCCCAGCGGAGGACGCCCGTGCATGACAGAGTGAAGATCACTGTGGAAAGCATGAAAAGCTCCCCAGCAAGAATGTGAAAGGGGACAGCCTGTGCCACCCTGTCCTCCCTCATCAGCGGGCAGTGCCAAGGAACCGCAGGCCAAGACCCTGGCAGGTGGCCCGATCACCAGGACCGACCTTACTGCCCTTCTGTCCGCTTCACACCGGGCTCGTACCCGGGGCCTCAGTGCTCAGCTCCAGCCTCAGCCCCGCTTTCCTTTTTATTTTGAGACAGGGCCTCACTAAGCCTCTAAATTGCTCAGGCCCGGCTTGAACCCTCAGTTCTCCTGCCTCAGCTGGCCAGAGTGCAGGGATGTTGGGTTTGCCCCAGCGTGCCTGGCTCACTACCAGTTTTGCCTCACAGAAATGACAATGTATCAGCAGTGTGTCTTGTGAAAGCCTGGGCAGTATACTATATTGTAAAGGACTTGTACATAGAGTAAAGGTCTGAAAACATGCATGGAGAATGTAGGCCCAGATTTGGGCTGTGGGCTCCTTCTTCGAAGGGAGAGGCAGCTGGCAGTCGGCTCCTGGAGGGGCTGTCTGTGGGAGTGGGGTGTAGCTCTTACACGTCAAAGCTGGTTGTATGTGGGTGTATGTATGTTTGGGTTTTTTTATGAATTTAGGACAGGGTGTGCAGAGTCTTACTTACATAGATCAGCCTCGTGGTGATTCTCTTGTTTTCAGCCTCCCGAGTGCTGGAATTACAGGCGCAGGCCACCATGCCCAGCCTCCATTACCATCTCAGCGGGCCGGGTGGGGCCGGCACAGCGCGCTGGGGATCTAACTCCCGGTGCTGCACTCTGCCCAAGCAGGCAATTCAGTCCCTGAGCTACTTGACTGGCCCTCTGTATGTGCTTTAACTGCTTAAAATAGGTAAAATATAGGTAACATAAAATGTGTTTATTTTGTCTTTTTTAAAATGTATTTGGTACAGGGGCTCACTACACAGCTCTGAGCTGTAGTGATCCTCCTGGTTTCAGCCTCCCCAGCGCTGGGATTACAGGCCTGCACCCCCACACCGGGCCTCGGCGGCCAGCTCAGCATGCCTGGGGGCAGCGCCTGTGCAGCATGTGGTGCTGGTACTGAACACCAGTCCCTGCACTTGCTTAGGCAGGCACTTAGTCCGCTGAGCTATCTCGCACACCCTATTTGTCTTTTTGCGACAGGTTCTCTCTATGCAGTTTAGGGTGGCCCTGAGCTCACCTTGTAGCCCAGGCTGGTCTCCAACTCACAATGATCCTCCTGTGTCAGCCTCCTCAGTGCTGGGATTTCAGGCTTGCGCCATTAATGTCTGGCTAAAATTTGCAATTTTAAGCACTTAGTGTAAAGTTTCATGCATCTAGCATGTTTATGGTAATTTGCAGCCATGCCCACTCTCTAATTCCAGAACTTTCCCGTCCATCTATTACCCTCGACCCATTAATCAGTGTTTCCTATCCCACAGCCCCCCTCCCCCGCAACCAAGAATCTGCTTTATGCTTCTGTGTGTTTTTCTGTTTGTGGGCATTTCAGGTAAATGACTTCACATGACTTTTTTGTTTTTTGTGACCAGCTTCTCTCATTTAACATAAAGGTTTTTTTTTTTGTTTGTTTGTTTTTTTTTTAGATATATTTTAGTACAGGGTGTACAGAGTCTCACTGCATGGATTGGACTGGAGTGATTCTCCTGTCTTCAGCCTCCCAAGTGCTGGGGTTACAGGCATGCACTACCACACTCCGTGTCCATCGCCATCTCTGTGTACCCCGGGGGTGGGGCTGGCACGACATGCAGGGGATTGAACCCCAGCTGCTGTGTTCTGCCTAAGCAGGCACTTTAGTCCATTGAACTATCTGGCCAGCCCTTAACATAAAGTTTTTATTTACTGTTTTTCTTTTTTTAGACAGTCTCACTATGTAGATCAGGCTGGCTTTGAACTCACTATGCAGCCCAGGTTGGCTTTGAACACAGAGATCCCACTTCCTCAGCCTCCCTGGTGCTGGTGGATCCCAAGCGTGCACTCCATGCCTGGCCTGGCACGTTCTTAAGCTTGTAGCTTGTGTCAGCACCTTTCTATGGCTGAATGTTTGGGTTTTTTGTTTGTATGTATGTTTGTTTGTTTTATTTGCAGCACCAAAGATTGAGCTCAGGACCTTGTGCTTGGCAGGTGAGCACTTACTGTACTGAGCTATCTCCCTGGCCCAAAGGCTGAATGTATTTTGTTGTGCAGTACAACACATTTTGCCTATCTGGTAGCAGACATTTGGGTCATTTCTTTCAACTGTTGTGAATTGTGTGGTTATTCAAGTAAACATTCTTCTTCTTCTTCTTCTTCTTCTTCTTCTTCTTCTTCTTCTTCTTCTTCTTCTTCTTCTTCTTCTTCTTCTTCTTCTTCT